CACCTGTTCGTCTTTGTTTTTTGACGCTGTTATGAGTTTTAAATTTTGCAATGAACGAAGCAATTGTAGTAAAAGGAATATTCAGGTTGTTAGAAATCGTTCTATAACTGTTCCCATCTTTCCAAAGAGACAAAATGTGTTGTTTTTGTGAAATAGTCAATTCTTTACCTTTAGGCATTATTAGAACCTTCTCATAAGACTAGAAATTGCAGAATGCTCTGAAAATGGCTAATAGTGTTAACTATAACTACTGATAACATTACTGGAACATTCTAGAATATACTTTCTTCATAATTAATTGATTATTTTATTCTAATAATTTATTTGTACGAATACTGTTTTCACCAGTTAGAATTAAAAAATGCATTAATTTCTGTTAGAATAAGAATTAATTAAGTTTATTATTATTTTTAATAGTGTGTGTCTTTATACATAAAATGTGCTGAGATTTGTTTTATTTAAGGCTTTTACATTTATAAAAATACAATTTTTCAAGTGTACGAATATTTATTTCCCCCCACTGTATATATTAGTTATATACATAAAGGAAGAATTGCTAATTTGGCTAAGGCAGATGCTGTATAAACAAAATGATTCTCAGAAAGAAAACATATCCTAATATGATTGGGGGAAATAACATTGAATTTCATCTCTAAAGCCTTTAAATGAAATTTTGTAATATGATAACGGAGGAAGCACTGGGAAAAACAAACAGAAAAGGAAAAAGCAAAAGAAAATACTCAGTCAACATGAAAATGGATGTAAAAGGTGAGAAATATAGTCTGAAAAACAAAGAAAGATAAAAATGAGTGTGCAGGATGAAATAAACTAATTGATAAAAAAACAAGGGGACATAAAAAAAGGAAAGTAAGCTTGCAAAATTAAAAAGAAAGGAAGAACTTGAAACATACTTAATCTGCAATCAAAATAAACAATAATTGCCTTAAAAAACATAATTATTAAACAATAATTGCACTGAAAACATAAATAGGGAAGTTACTAAATGTAGGAATATGATGCTAAAAATAACTGAAAAATATCATGCAAACCTGTATGCTTTGAAAATAAAGATACCATCATCAGTTACAACAGCATATACTAGTAATGTTACTGATATAACAAGAAATGAAATAAAAAAAATGAAATGTTGAAAAGTACTAGAAGATGGTATAGTAACAGACCTTTTGTGAGATGATGTGGAAGAATTCCATAAATAGCACAAATATTTACTATGTTCCTATTTAAAACAAAAGTACCTTAATAATCTACTTTATAAAAAAAAAAAAAAAGAGATGAAAAAGCCTTGGTAACTATGGAGCATATATAAACTATTCTCAAATGTATTTACTAACAGACTAATGAACATAATAGATGAAAAATAGCTACAAAAACTGGCAGGTTTTATGAGGGGGTTATTTAACAATAAACAATTTCTAAACAACAGCACACTTAATTGAAAGAAATCAATAGAATTTAACAAATCACCGTTTAACTTTTGTTTATTATGAAAAGACATTTAACTTGGTAGAATGAGCAAGTCCTGAAATCACACCATGAGCAGAGAATTAAAAAAAAAACAATTTAAAGGGGACTGTGAATATATATATATATATATATATATATATATATATATATATATATAATAAAAGTACTGCAATATTTTGACTATACAGTTAAAATAAAGGTTGGAAAAGGAAAGAAAAAAAGGAGATAGGATATCATTTGGAAAATGAACTGGGAAGGAATAGGAATAAACATAAAACCACCTATGATTTTGCTGATGACTTTTTCTCTAATATCATTGGCCGAATGACAAGAGGTGCTAAATGAAAGGTAAAGTCTCAAGGTTGGTTAAAAAAAATGAACAGAAATAAAACAAAAGTAATTGTTTAATTGTCATGTTCCCAAAAAGATCATGAAAATAGAAAATCAAGAACTCCAAGAAGACATAGGCCACTTAGGACAGGTGATCATGTAAAGAAAGACTCTACGGAAATAAAATAGGATAATGTATGACAATTGAGTGGAAAGCAATTAAGAAAAATAGACACCTAATGAAATAAAACACCTTTCTGTTGAAATGTAAAGTATATAACGAATGTTTATTGCCAGCTATGATGTACAGGTGTGAAACATGGAAATTAGCAAAATCACTTGAAAACAAACTTTTGCTAAGATCAATAGAAAGTGCAATGCAGAAAATAATCCATGAGATTAAATGGTAAGTCATATAATAGGAGGGATTATACAAACAGACAACAAAACAAAAGAAAAATAGCAGGAAAAGGTTGCTTGATTTGTGCCCAATGATTAGCAAATGCAATAGGAAAAGATGACAGAAAAAAATGGAGAAAGGAGTTAAAGCAGTTTGCTACTAAGAAATGACAATGAATGCCATAGTCACAGTTGAAGGAATTTTGAAATGACCTTTCTGCTGCAACAGACTAGCAATGACTTCTGAGGATGATGATATGTGTACAAGTGAGGAGATCTGACCAACAAAATCAACTTTGGTACATGTGCTATTTATATAAAGGGTTTTAAATATAGCAGCTAACACTTTAAAATATATCAAAATGATGGCAGAAATGTTGAAAGATTTAGAATTATTAATCATTTTATAAAATATATTGAAGAGTCATTGTTGCAAAATGACAATGTTTCAATTCTAACTTGGAGAATCGTAAATTTAAACTAAAATGCCAATATGTACTTATTGTACAACAGATAATCAAATTATCTCATTGTAATTGTTTATTTACAGAAAGCCACCTCCTCTTGGGACAAGTAACAGACGAAATGGTAAATCTTAAAAAGAGTAAAAGTTGCAATAAATATATATATATATATATATATATATATGTATGTCACCAAAAAATTAAAAATTCAAAATGAAATTAATAAAATTTTTTTATGACACAAATTATATTAATATCATCTGGTTCACACTCCAATCTTTTGAACCGGAGTAGAGCCTTACCTCTTATTTAGGATTAAGATTCTGGATTCTTTATAAAGTCTTTTTCATTCATTTTCACTCCCAGTAGACCCACTGACATCTTAGTGTCATTATCGTTTTGGTTGAGGTGAATTGATTAAAAAAAAAAAAAAAGAAAGAAAAAAAAAAATAGTTATATTAACATTAATTTCTTATTACCAGATAACAAAAATTATTTTCTATGTTAATAAACTAATAATGTATCCTATGTAAACACTTTTCAATTAAATGAAGCAATCATTTTATTGGCTGTCCTTTTAAGACATTAGAAAAGAATGTCAAGCTCTGTCATTTATGGTTGCATCATCTTGAAACGCTGACTCATGTATGATCACTGAAATTAAGCAACATTGATCCTGGTCGTTACCTACATGGATGACAACTTGGGAATACCAGGTGTTGATTGACTGGATGTGCAGATGATGTTATGAATAATGGCTTGCAATTGTTAATCAGAGAGCTGAGTTCCAATTCCAGTTGGGCTCATTACATTCACTCACATGTAAATAATCATAGGAAAGTCACGAATCCACCTCTTCTCCTCCAAGCAATGGGTTCATAGTAAGACTTGTATGATTAAATCATTATAATCTCAAAAACAAATACTGGCTTTAAATAACCTGAAAAGGGGTTGATAAAACAAACAAAAAAAAAGGCAAATCAATCAAGCCCTGCCTTCCTCTTCTCAGCTCTTCTGATATCTACTGTTAAATATATTCTGAAATATTTTGAATAAATGCCTCTAAAATATACTGCAAATGTCACTGCAAAGAAATGTATGCCATGTAGATAGAAAAAAAAGAGATAACAATTCTATACATACTATTTACATTATTCGGATTATTGTCCTCATCTTTGTTGCCATCTTAGTACGCTCCGGCCTTCTTCAGGTAGTTGGAATGTCGATTTGACCCTTTATTTTGCTCACTGGGGTAGACTGTTCTAGTTCCACATGCTATGTTTAATGGATGTCAGTTATCAGTTATCTCCTGTTAATTCCCCTCTACAAGTTCTCCACTGCCTTAACTGGGTATTGAACTCACACTCTTTGGGTCCTGTCACTGGATCTAACCAATGCCTTTATCCACTGTGCCATGTGTCCTTGAGGACATCTGTGTATGAACTTCTGGGTATTATAAACCTAATGTCTTCAGCAACATTTTTTACCAGAGCTCATAGTGCAATTTTTGTTGTTGTTATCACTTTTCTCTGTCACTCCTTATTACTGGTTCCCATATTGTATTCATTTCTATGCTTGGTCAGCTCAGGAGATTTTTGTGGCCTAGCATATGTGCTGATTCCTTAAGCTTACGAATTTTCCAATGGTGTTCTTTGTCTATGATCTCACAGACAAAGAACACCACATAATACCTCACCTCAGAAATATAGACAGGTACTGAATTCTATACATGTTTAGTATTTTTCCTCAACTGTCAATAATCAACAAATATAATACTCAGACTAAAACAATAAAACATTTGACTAATTTGATGGTGATAGCCATCTTTTGAAAAAAAATTATTTATGATATACATTTTTTTTTCATAGGCATTGTCAATACACACAAACACCCAATATTAGAAACAGTTTTATCTTTCAGTCTCTTTGCCACACAAAATTTCATTTCTGTGCTTTCTGCTTTTGGCCACCAATGACAAAATTTTGGAAATTTTATTTCTTTCATGTGTTTATTATGATCACAGGTTTAATAAAGATCTCTGATTTTAGAAAGATGTTAACAGCATTCGGATGCTATCAGTTGTAGAATCGTCTGAATCAAAGATTTCCAAGAAAGCATCTTGCAATCGATTTAAAAAAAGAAAAAAAAGAAAAAGAGTTTCAAAGTATAAAATGAAGAGAGGGTGACAGTGAGGATGAGAAGTGGGACTGGAGAAAAGCTGAGAGCAAAGACGACAAGATACAAAGAGTAAAAACATTGAGAAACATGGAGACAAAATAAACAAAAAAAAATGTTTCATGAAAAAAGAAAATGTAACTTTATTTAAAGAGAAGGAAGAAGAGAAAGAAGAAAAAAGAAAATTGTAACTTTAAAGAAGAAGAAGGAAGAAGAGAAAGAAGATAAAGAAGAAAATGTAACTTGAAATGTGGATAGAAAGAAGAAGAAAAAAGAAAATATAACTTGAAATAAGGAGAAGGAAGAGAAAGAAGAAAAAAGAAAATGTAACTTGAAATAAGGAGAAGGAAGAGAAAGAAGAAAAAAGAAAATATAACTTGAAATAAGGAGAAGGAAGAGAAAGAAGAAAAAAGAAAATATAACTTGAAATAAGGAGAAGGAAGAGAAAGAAGAAAAAAGAAAATGTAACTTGAAATATGGAAAAGAAAGAAGAGAAAGAAGAAAAATGTTAACAAAAAAAGAGAATATATGGGAAAGAAAGAATAAAAGAAAAATTCTAAAAGAAGAACATACTTGTAATGAAAACAGGACAAGAGATTCTGTCTAGTAATCGTTTATTCAATTAAGAATGCTACTACTCATCTGACTTGACAGCGGAAGTATACAGCTTTTATAGCTTGGATTATCTAAGAGGAGATAATCCATATTCACAACATTCTCCCCCACCAAATTTCTCACTGATAGGGAAGAAAGTCCCTTAAATGTCCAGGCTCCCTACGAGTTCGCAGTGGCCGCCTCGGCAGTCCATGATTCGTGGTCAGAGCACTCGAACAGGAAGGCTCTTCAGTGCGAGCCTGTCTGTGGGCTCTAAAATACCTTGCTCGAAATGTTTCCTTCTCAGAGGAGCAGGCCGTTCGCGTCAGAGTCAGTCTCCGGATGAACACGTTTATTCGGTGCTAGCCCTTCATCTGTCAGGGTTTCAGGTGTTGGCCCATCCGAAGTGTCTGACGGGGCCTCAACGGAGACAGTGTCGTCAGACGGCGTGTCAGGAACAATTTCAGTGCCATGATCTTCCGGAGGGGCTTCAGTGTCAGGGGTAGTTGGTCTGTCCTCAGGGGCTATCCACGGTCCGGGTACGTCTCCGGCCGGTGCTAGGTCCCTGAGAGACACATTAGACTCTCTACCATCTGCATGTCATACTAGCGCGTACTGAGGGTTCGCCCTCTATAAGCTCTACCTCGTCCACCAAGGGATCGTTCTTGGTGTAATGTGCATGTCGTCTCAGAAACATAGTACCGGTCGAGAGACCCAAGATGGAAGCTGAAGCTCCCGCCGAACTCCGTCGCTGAAAAGGTAGAAACCTTTCGTGTGGGGTGGCATTCGTGGCAGTACACAATAGGGAACGAATGGCGTATAATGCGACAGGAAGGAGATTTTCCCAATTATCAATTGAACATCCGTTATTTGAGGCAGCCAATTGAACGGTCTTCCAAATAATGCCGTTATATCTTTCGCATTGGCCGTTACCCTTAGGGTTGTAGGGAGTTGTCCAGCTTATAGCTACTCCTCGTTCCTGTAGAAATTGCCGAAGCTGCTCTGACATGAAAGAAGCCCCTCGGTCCGAATGTATATAGGCAGGGGCTCCAAAGATGGCGAACAGTGAGCAGAGGCATTGTATAATTGCAGCAGCTGATATGTCTGAACAAGGGAAGGCAAAAGGAAACCGTGAATATTGGTCGATAACCGTTAATATATATCTGTTCCTTGTTTTACTTGGTAGCGGTCCTTTAAAATCAAGAGTGAGTCTTTCAAACGGTTGTGTTGCTTTTATTAAAACGCCAGTTTGGGGTTTATAAAACCGAGGCTTTATTTCAGCACACGTTCGACAAGAATTTGTAATTCTTTTTACCTCCTCCACTGAGAAAGGCAAGTTTCTACACCTCACAGCATGAACCATTCGAGTAATGCCCGGGTGACAGAGATTGTTATGTAGCATTCGGAGTTCGTCCCCGCTTGATGCCGTACAGCATGCTCTTGACAGTTTATCAGCTGTTAAGTTCTCCTTGCCAGGTCGGTAGCTGACGTCAAAGGAGAAACAAGATAGCTCAATTCTCCACCTCGCTATTTTCTCATTCTTTATTTTACTCGTAGTTTTAGAGTTGAACATAAAAGCAACTGATTTCTGGTCAGTAATAAGTTTAAAGTGGCGTCCGATCAGGTAGTGTCGCCATTTTCTTAATGCCTCGACTATGGCGTAGGCTTCCTTTTTCAATTGCGGGGTGTCGTCGTTCAGCCTGTGAGAGGGTCCTTGAAAAGAAGGCTACAGGACAATCAGCTTGTTTCAAAGAAGCAGCAATAGCACAGTCTGACGCATCTGTTTCAACAACCAGAGGAATATTTTGGTCTATTGTTGTAATTGCAGATTTCGCAATATCCTTTTTTCAGTCCCTCGAATGCCTCAACGGCTTGATGGGACAGAGGAAACGTCTCTACTTGTGTCAATGGATGTATCTTTTCTGAGAACGAAGCAATCCATTGAGAGTAATGAGCAAACATGCCCATAGCACGTCGAAGGGAAGGCTGGTTGTGAGGGACAGGCATCTGGAGTAAAGGTTTCAATCGATCTGCGTCCGGTGCCATAAAACCTTTGCTTATGGTATACCCCAGTAGGTTTATTTTGTCCAGTCCAAACAAGCATTTGTCGTCGTTTAGGGTAAGGTTGTATTTATCGACGGCGGACATGAACCGTCTGAGATTTTCGTCGTGTTCCTTTCTATTATGGCCACATACTGTGATGTTGTCGATGTACGCAAATGTGCCTTCCAGTTTCTCATCCGTTATGATTTGGTCGACTATCCTTTGGAAGCTGGCTACCCCATTCGTAACGCCAAAAGGAATCCTGCGAAATTGATATAGTCGACCGTTCGCCTCGAAAGCAGTGTATGGCTTGTCTCTAGGTCTAATGGCGACCTGATGGTACACGCTTTTCAAGTCCAGAGTGCTAAACATACGATATTTGGCTATTTCGCCTATCATTTCATCTATCCTGGGTAGTGGGAAGGCGTCCAAAAGAGTAAATCTATTTATGGTTTGGGAGTAATCTATAACCATTCTTTTTTTTATGGTTGCTAGAAGTGGTTATAACTACCTGACCCCTCCAGGGTGATTTGCTAGGCTCAATTATACCCTCCTCAAGTAGTCTTTTTATCTCAGAGTCAATGAATTTTTTATTATTATAAGAAAAACGTCTGCTTCTCACTGCTATGGGTTTGCAGTTTTCAGTTAGGTTTTCGAAAAGTGACGGGTACTGGATTTTTGCTGTCGGCAATCCACAAATTTTCAATGCGGGCATTGAACCGCCAAATGGAATTTCAACCTGTGAGTGTTGCTGCAAAAAATCGTGTCCCAGTATTATTTCGCAACAAAGGTTTTTCATTACGGATAATTTAGTGGTTTTATAGGAGACGTCATTAAATAGTAAGTCCACCAAACAATAACCACTTACTTGCGCAGACAATGACGCGTTTGCCATTGTTACTCTGCTGGGGAGGGACAAAATACAATTTGTTGGTTTTACCAAGCTTTCTTTGATAAAATTTCCTGAGCTCCCGGTATCGAGCAGGGCATTTGTAGACCTCCGTTAATTTTCACTTTTTACAATAGTTTTTGAAAGGCAGTCGGGGAGGCGGCTAAAGTTGCAGAAGTATTTTGACAAGTGGATTTGTATAGAGTTTTAGGAGACTTGCATACCTTTTGAAAATGACCAAGTTTTCCACATTTATGACAACGAGTATCTCTGGCAGGGGCATGAGACTCGTGGGTGTTTAGATAAGCATAAAAATAGCAAGTGTCCTTTTTAAAGCGGCAGTGACCGATTGTTTTTGAAGCTTCGGCCGGACTATCGTCATGAGGGGGGGACAGTAAGAACAGGTGGGTTTAATGCGGTGCCCACGGTGTCTGGCTGTAAATAAGAACTAGACTGCTGTATAGCACTTTTCGAAGATATAGGCTTGCTCGTAAGCTGTTCTAAGTGTAAGGGTCTTATTCTCAAGAAGGCGTTGTCTTATCTGAGTATTGCGTAAGCCGTTAATGAAGGCGTCCAAAATGTGTAGCTCTTGGGCCTCTAATGCCGTCATTGGGCAGAAGTTGCAATCTTTGCTCAGTGTCTGAAGGCTCTTAAGGAAATGGTCCAATGTCTCGCCTGATTCTTGTCGGTGAGTCGCAAGTAGGTGTCTAGAAAATATCTCATTTTGGGGCTTTATGTATGTAGCGTTCAGTACATCGATTGCTTCTTCGTAGGTAACGCAATCCGAGATAATTTCGTTGACTGTGTGAGACAGGTAGTTGGTTAGGAGCGCACGCTTATTGATGGGACGTCCCGGTCTTTCTGAATGTAGAACCTCGATGAAATTTGTAAATGTCTCCCGCCAATATTTCCAGCACTTGTCGGCTGAATCGCTTTCTAGATCTGTGGTAAGTCGCTCAGGTCGCATAAATTGTTCCATTCTTAATTGAATAAAATGTAATGAAAACAGGACAAGAGATTCTGTCTAGTAGTCGTTTATTCAATTAAGAATACTACTACTCATCTGACTTGACAGCGGAAGTATACAGCTTTTATAGCTTGGATTATCTAAGAGGAGATAATCCATATTCACAACAATACTGAAGGAGAAAAAAAGATATAAAAGCAAGAAAAATAAAATAATGAGATGAAGAAGAAAAAAGAAAGAAAAAAAATCAAAGAAAAATGATGAAAAGAAAAAAGTAAATAATTAAAAATATCATGAAAATTGTGAAAGAAATGAGAAAAAAAGAAAACTGAAAATAAAATCAAAACAGAAAAACAGGATGTTAGGAAATATATGTTAAAAAGAAAGACATTTTTTACATTTGAACTATTGTCCTCATCTTTGTTGTTGTTATTATATTGTTTCAGCTGTTGTACCCTGCAGCCTTCATCAGGTGCATGTCAATTTGGGTAACCTTCAAGGATGCACCTGATGAATCCTGCAGAGCACATGACCAAAATGTGATAACAGCAACAATGAGACTGAACAGACGGAATAACATAAATAATAATAATAACTCTTCATCCTAGAAATTTATACAGAAAAAAAAAAAAAAGAAGACATTTATTTATGAAATTAAAAGGCTAAATGTAAAGATCATGTTGCACCAATATGTCATGAAAATCAACATTCAAAAATCCTTTCTTTTTATCTGGGTTAAAAGAAATGACAGTGTATTGTTGAAAATACATAACTCTTTCCTTTCTTTTCCCAATCAAACATCAGTGAACTATAAAAATATTGATTAACCTTCATCTGGAAAAAAATCAAATGAGAAGAAAGAGAATTGTGTTGTGACACAAGACAATTCTTTTTTTTCCAAGCGTGATTGGCCGCCTTTGAAAATCAGCATTGACTCTATATTTGAACCCCCTGAACCTTAAACTTTTTAAATAAAAAGTTGGATGTAAAAAACAAAGAAAAGTGAAGATGGAGAAAAAGAAGGCATGAACACGACCAGAAGAAAAAAGGGCAGTAAGAGTGGAACAAAAGCTTATGAAGAAACAAACTTAAATCTATCAAAAAAAATATATTTTAGCAATATTTTAGTTAAAAGTAACATGCATCAAATAAGAAAAAAAACAAATGTGAAAAAATTGTTTCTGCTGCAGACATCAAGAAAAGCCACTGTTTGTTGCCAGAATATGAACAAGTAACAAAATATAAGAAGAGTGATTCACAGAATTTCTACTGTCCCCAGTCAAGTTAAAGAAAGACAAGGATTACAATGGGACACTAACTCAGTTTTCTCTTTTCTAGATAGAAAAAAAACAAAACATTTCTATTGTAGGAAAATCTAATATATTTGAAATGTGTTTGCATTGGAATGGGTGCTGCTATGGACTTGTTATTAGTTTTGAGGTGCATGCCACAGAGCCAGCCAAAAGTGTGATAAATATTTGGCAATATCAGAATGTGAGTGGCATACCAGAATGAGGCTGTATAAAAGTGACATAAAAATCTATAACTCAAAGCCATCTAGCAATCGAGCCAAAGTGTTGGTTGGATCTATTTGTGTCCTTGTAGAGAATCAGGCAATTCAGTTTAAATGCCTTAGAAAGAAAAAAAAAAAAAAAAAGAAAAAATCACACAAATCAAGACGGCACAGATAATTTAGGTTAGGAGATTCATCAGCTGAGAGCAAATATTGATCAAAATGGGATTTTCAGTTTGGTTTCAATTTTGCTCAATGTTTCTTCCACGTCTGGTATACGAGTTTTTTTTTTTGGAGATGAGGTTGTTTGTTGTTTTACTTTTCCTTTCTTTTTCATTTGCCCCCCAGAGTTTTTGCAGTTGTTATAGACTGTTTTAGGCATGTTTTATTTTACAATAAAAAAAATAAAAGAAATTTCACTGGTGATAAAATTGACATCAGATAATTTATCATGGAAACCTTATTGACTCTGCTTCAGCAACATCTCTAAAATATCTACAACTATTGAATTGAGATATAACATCACAAACATTAGAAATGTAAAATTTCAAATCATCACAAATAGGCACATGATCACTAAACAAATTTCTTTTAATATGCATGTGCATGTATGAACATGCAACGAGGTGCAATTAAAATGCTCAGGAAAATTCTCTTCCTGAAGGATAGGAAACTTAGCAAAAAATTAAGTCCTTTATTTGTTGGAGGACGGATTTCAAAAGATGTTTGAAATTTTCCTGTGTGAGATTAAAAATGTGTATGTATACACACACACATATATATATATATATATTTGATGAATAATCAAAAAATATTGCTCTGTAAAATAAAATACATCAAGTTCTCTTTTTGTGAAACAATTTTATTCTTATATTAATAGGACCCATAGAATTTGATTATTTTACTATATATATATATATATATATATATATATATATATATATATATATATATATATATATATATATATATATATATATATATATATATATATATAAGTGAACATTGAAACGAACACACAGAGGCAGCATGAAACATGGCACAGTGGATAAAGGCGTTGGTTAGATCCAGTGACAGACCCAAAGAAGGTGAGTTCAATTCCTGGTTAAGGCAGTGGAGAACTTTCAGAGGGAAAATTAGCAGGAGATAACTGACATCCATCAAACATGGCACGTGGAATTAGAACAGTCTACCCCAGCAATCGAAATAAAGGGTTCAGTTCAAAATTCCAACCACCTGAAGAAGGCCGGAAACGCCAGACAAATATGGCGACAAAGATGAGGACAATAGTCCGACTAATGTAAATACTGTACATAATACCTCATCTCAGAAATATAGACAAACTCTGATTCTATTGAAGCTGTAACTACTCCTCCTGAGAAATGAAACTATCTTGACGACTTATTTTCTTCAGTTCAGGGATTTCTCTGTAATTTAATGCAAAACATAATTGCTGAATATAAGTAAGGACATCAGAATCAAAAGATTGAGTTCTTAGTTTTATTTTGAAGCTAAGAACTCAATCTTTTGATTCTGATGTCCTTACTTATATTCAGCAATACTATATCAAGACTGAGGACATATTATGCAAACTGGAAATGGCAAGACCTGGATTTTCCCAAATTGAGGACTGCTTTCTATAACTTGGGAAATGGCTCCATAGATTTAGTAAAGTGTAGCATTTGCTGGAGAAGTCAGAGTTAACCTCAGCTCGGTCCCCTTGGCCCAGGCTAAAAAAAAAACAAAAAAAAAAAACAACTGCTCAGTTAGGCTGCTATAAACAAACTAAATGACTAACCATTTTCATCACTCTATGAAGTGACATCATTAAGCAACTGTCACATGACCCATGGGACTATCTCAACCAAAGGGAGACAATCATCTTTTGTATTTCAACAGTGTTTCTTTTGTATAATAATAGTTTCAAGTATTTGGAGTCCTTATTTACCGAATATTGTTTTGGTATTATCTACTAATATTTGTCTTATGCTAATAGTCACATTTTAGTTGTTTGTGATGTGATAATTCATGTGTGCAGGAATTATACTAATTTTAAATAAGTAACAAATTAACCTATGAGAGATTATGGTTTTTGTGTGGCTAATGTAAGAATTTCAGACAATCTTTTTATTTCATTTGAATTATAGATGCAATCTTTAAAAGTTGTGAGGATAGAAACCAATATTCAAGCAAAAATATCTGGGAAGCAATAAAAATTGTTGTAATTAATATTAAAATTAAAAAAAAAAAACAATAGAAAAGTTACTAAAATCAATGAATATAAAGAGTGATGAATTGATTTGATCTGTTATGCTTTATACTCCCTTTGAAGGTTATTTAAAGACAAAACAGATTTGCAATTGTAGGAGGCTGCTTATAATGCCTTGTTTGGTTTGGTCTATGGCACATCAACCTCAATGGGTCATTTAATGCCAAAAACTTTTTTTTTCTAGTAATATTTTTGTTTTGTCAAAAATCTATTTCTGTTAATATTTTTTTCCTCAAAAATGTATAGCCGGTAATATTATTTTTTCAAAAACGTATAGCTGATAATATTATTTTCCAAAAGCATATTGCTGGTAATAGTTTTTTCCAAAAACACATTGCCGGTAATATTTTTTTTTTCTTCAAAAATTAATTTCTGGTAATAATTTTTACAAGTATTCCTGGTATTAAAACCTATTTTTACACTTTTATAATGCCTTCTACCTCATTTTCTGGGTTAATTATTAATTTGCCCATAGCTGGGACCCTAACAGGTGCTACCACTCCAGGTCAGGGTGAACCTGGGAACACCAGCATTTAAGAGGCGGTTCCACGCTCCTCAAAGCCTCCTTCTCAGAGGGCTTGCTGTTGGATATAGTTTATCATCTTAGCCTGGACACAGATGTAGTTTATCATCAAACCCAGGACGCTATAATGCCTGGTGTTCCCAAGTGGTCCCCACATAAGTACTGACAGCGATCAACACTGCTTAACTTTGCTGATCAAACAAGAACCATTGTTTTCAGTGCAATTTGATAGATTACTATAGAAAGCCCATATTAACATGTAAAATAATAATTTATTTCGGCATATAGAAGATTGTCTTAATGACATGTATGTTTCTATAGTCTATATCTTTTTACGAATAAAAGTTTGTTGCTCCTTGTAGAACAAAACCCCCACACTTCTCCAAAAGAAGTCCTTATCAATATTTTTTTAAAATAAGGATAAATATCATAGGCTGAGAGCTTTACTAACATCAGTTGGGTTATTTTATTGTGACAATATTGACTTGTATAATAAAATCTGACATAGTGTGTGTGTATATATATATATATATATATATATATATATGCACACACAATCTTGATGATTAGCATTTTGAATATCAATTTCCATGTAATGCAGATCATTACTTGTTGAAAATTTAGTGCAACACAATTTTTCTTTCCCATTTGCTCCTATCTTGATCTTGTTCCAAACACAAGCTCAACAAATATCTATCTATGAGGATTCATGTACATGTTCCTATATATGTATTTATATATACAGATATATTTCCTAATATTCCAAACTTTATTTTGTGGATACCAATGTTTGAGTATATGCTTTGTTTTTGTTTTAATATTTATGTAGAATTTTATTTATCAATGTAAGAGTGAAAATTTCTATTGCTTTGAATGGAATACAAAGAGCAAGTGACACAAAAACGAATACAGATCAATGAAAAGACAAATATGAACAGTCTGAGCTAAATAATTGAAATCCTAGCTTGTACATGAACTAATACCAATCACTGACATCAATTTTATATATATATAAAATGTAAATACTGTTCCTTTGGTATATCAAAATATAAAAAGGAAATATTTTATGCCCTAAAACATAAAAAATAATAAATGAAATTGCTCAGTGCCAAAATAAGGCAGATTAATTTAAGATCAAATTAAAAACAAAGAACTCTTGGCAAGTAAACTTTCACCTTCCAGCTCTTCAGGCTTTGACTGCTAGGATCAATATATATATATATAAGAAACAGATGCCTTTATACTAATATATTCATGAGTGCAAATTTATTTCTGCAAATTTAAATAGCAGATACATATGTATGCACATACAATTACACGTGTAAAATGATGTTGTGAAGCAAATGTTCAAGTGCTTTTTATTTCCTGAGTAATTCTGTATTGGGTACAAAATCTCATTCACACATTAAATATGGGTTAACAGTCTGATTGAAACATTCAACAAGAGTCAAAACAATGAAAAGAAAAAAAATTTTTATTTTCACAAACATTTGTTATTCATTTTAGGCATAAATTTGCTCTGAATTCATTCTGGTTAAAAAGAAACAAAAGTTCAGCAAAAAAAAAAAAAAAAAATAATAATATATATATATATATATATATGCAATTGGATATATCTGTCCAGCG